ATTTATACGGATCTTCATATAATCGAAAAAAGCGTTCAGGTGTTCGGTTTCCGATGTACCACTTTGTGTATATCGGCTGGTAAACATCAGGAGAAAAAGGCAAGAAAAGATCATCCTTTTTTTCCCCAGAAAAGTAGAAGGAAGCTCGTGCCCCGGAGCCAAGATTTTGAAGGCTCGGAATGAACGGCAGCGTCGAATAACGTCAAAGATCTTCAGATTTCTCTATGAAATTCTGTGGGTATTTTCGACGTGAGACGATCCCAATCTTTATCATCAATTCTGACATACGAGGGTGCCATTGGCCATGTTACGTGTCCAATGGGCTCAGCGAGGGTGAATTGTTGACGAGAACCCCTCTAAGCAAGCTCTACCTCATATAGCAAGGTAGAGTGCGCCCAGTGAGAATTGCCCGATGATTTTCGGTAGATGAACTTTCCTCGTTAGCCCTCGGGCAGGAGGGTGAGCGACCCCTTTACACGTACACTGTATATCCACCCTTGACAACGTCTTAAATTGTATCGATCATCGAACACAGTAATAAAATTGCTAGTGATTATCAATCCTTGACCAGAACAGTCATTGATCATGAAGAGCGTCCAAAGCGTCCTACACAAGTGTCGCCACCTATGGACAATATAAATTACTTATAATTTTAACAATCTTCTTCATCTTTCTCTGTAATCATATATTCATCCATATACTCCCATGTAGTTCACGCTCATAAGAGTGATGCAATTTCGAAGATATTTGCTTGGCAGAATAAAATAAGCTGGAACGATTGATGATCCAGTTCCGATCGTAGCAAGAAGCCATCATGTGACCAGGGTGTTTCAGCTTTAACCACACACGTCATCCCGCAAGACTAATAGCGATATCCTGAGAACGCCGATGGCGCTAGCGTCGCGAGACTTCGGAGCTGTTAGTTTTATCCCGATACTGATTAGATGGATGATCCTTCCCGTTAATCCTCAATCAGGTCGCTCAGCCTGAGAACAAAAATCAATAACTAATACAGGAACTGGCTAAATGACTTTCTCAACTTTTTCTTCGGTAACAATATAGTTACAGCACCAGTCCCTTTTCAATACGGCGCCTAAGTACTGCTCTGACTGACGTAAAACTAAGCCGACCTCGGCACAGTCATTATACATAAGGTGGATCGGTCATCGGTCATGTAATAGTAAGTTGTGTTATAATACTGTAGATTTAGCTATAGTCAAAACACACATTGACGATTACTGTGCATACATGGCCGATTATTGGACCATCCACCCTAGACAATATTTGTAATGTTTGTATCGTTGACACAAGGTGATACTAAACGATATTAGTGAACTCCTCTAATAATCCATGGACGATAGCCTCCTCGCCTTCTCATTTTCACCCTGCTGACCTCCTGAGACCTCGAACCCTTCCAGTCAACGGAAATTGAACTCGCTCCACCCTCGACACATATTTACCGTCTCAATCGTCCACCTCGTCGAGTATCTTCATCGAAAAAGGACATCGTGTTCCCCAGCATCTATCGGCACAAATAAATAATTCTTTAGTCATTCCTCCCATTGATTTCAGTCGCTTTTACGTTGACAATAATAAAGTACTATATATTTATATACATAAATGGCATAACAAATACAGAACCGGATATCAACAAATTTCAATGAAACGTATAAAATACCCCAAGTTTCCTCGTAAGAAATTCATGTAGATTCCGAGGAAATAACTCTAGATACTATTTGTCTTATTGATATCGATGTCTCCTTAAGAGCTATCGAGTTAAGATCTTCTTTCTAGTATCCGGTGAAGTTGAGGTAGCAACCAGCTCTGCTTTTCTCATCAACTTCATTCCGGTAATGAAGGTCTAATTGAGACGGAGTCGAGGCACACTCGCTACTTAGGACAGCGGTGCTTAGTCGTGTAGTTACCACCCTTAGCTATTAACCCTGAAGAGACCTGGTCCAGTAACACAAGGTATCGAAAAAGTCAGTTACGCAAGAAAGAAAAGGTGGTTACGATCCTCGTTTACGTGATCGTAAAAAAGATCATTTCCGTGAAAAATTCATGTACGTACCATACGGGGTGGATCCCTCTGCAACCCCTGCACGTGTTCCCGTACGCTTGACTTCGGGCGTCTACGAGCGTCTGGAAAAGCTCTTCCGCGCAAGCTGCTCGACAGGATAATAGATGAGTGCACTAGTAGACACCTAGCGGCACTCTGTGACAACTATTGAGGGTAAAATAGCAGGGGATAGATTTTTATTGGTCTGAAGAATAAGAAGGTAGAATTGGTACTGTGCGTTTGATTCGTTAATAAATCAAAGTGACTGCTGATAATGGAAAGTTAACATACCGTTGGACAATGAAGGTGTTTCTATCTAACCCAGTTTGTATACCCTTGTTAAGTATGTACGAAGAGCGAGAGGTAAGGCACAGCGAGACTAAGGAAGAGCGAGAGCGGAAGGATCGAGAGACGTTGAGGTAAATGGGGGAGGTTAAAATAACCCGCGGAAAATTACAGCTGCGGAGAAAATTGCATTCCGTTCCGCTTGAATTGCCGCTAACTCTCGTGGAAATGTTAAGTCAACTTCGAAAGCCCAAGGCGCTTTATTATTACCGGTTTTAAAAATCACTCGCTACGTCTAGTTGAACACATTGTGCCGTGACGGCCGATTAAAACAGCGACGCGGCGTACCGCGGCTGAACCCGGAACGACGTCGTGCGTCGGCACTTCTACTTACCCATTCTCACTACGGAAACCCCAATCGTTCTTCTCGTTCCTGGCGTTTCCCTCGTTTTATATATTTTTCTCGAATTTATATTAAATTACAGACTTTTATTATCTGCAAATTACTATTAAAACAGCATCGATCAAGTATTTTACTTATTTCTCATCCGTAACTGTGTAAATATATATTGCAAAAACAATATTTAATAAAAATTGTAAAAAATCGTACAAGAATCCTCGACGATAAAAATAAAAAAAGAACTGATTTAGTTAACATTAATTTTCCCAGGCTCTTTCCCCTCGGGGATAAACACTACATCTATTAGCGTGAAAGGACCTGAAGTGTATAACAATGATATAACTAGAGTAAAACGTCAAGAAAAACAGAGAAAAGCAAAGTGAGTACTGGGGAGCTTTTTTTTCATATGAAATAAAGAAGGATCGGCTGACAAGGTAAAAGATCGATTTCTCTTTCCTGACGCAAGCGAGCATCCCGACTTTATCGAACAAGGAACGTAGTCGATCCGTCTAAACTGGCGCGATGGTTTTCGATTTTTCGCTCAATTTGCGTGAGTGCAAGCCACACCACGTCGCCATCGCCACCGGCATTAGCAACCTAACCCTCGAACTTTTGCTCATTAACTAAGTAGCAAGTACTCAAGGTAGAATTTACGATTGTACCAAGGGTTAATGCATCGTTACTTGCTCTGGGGAATTTATGGAATTTTACAGGAATACATGGATCATGTGCATAGGTGCAGAGAGTTGTTCCATTTGACGACGATTAATCAGCAGATCGAATACAGCCTGAGCGACGGCTGGTAATGTTGGATTGTTTCTCTTAGGCAGCCTCGCGAACGATCAGATTCCTAGTTACTTATAGGAGTATGCTATTGCCAGACCAAAACCGTTGGGAGTTCCTGGATAGATCCGATCCAGAAGTACTCTGTATAGATAGCAATATTATTCGGATATTGATACTTTGAATATTTGAATGAAATAAAGCTAGGTCACGTCTCTTGGCTCGAGACTAGAAAAGTTTAGAAAGCGATTCCGCGGAGTCGCCATCCCTTAACCTTCGTGTACCCGCGTCAAATAATGTAACACATGTACCCAGCGCACGGTGTGCGAGACCAAAAGTACTAGGGTCATTTTGGCATGTTATCTAGTAAAATATTATCATAAAATTAAGTTTACCATTAGATGGTAACGTGTGAAACATTTTCCATTAAAAAAAAAAAGGCAAACGTAATTCGTCGGTCTGACAGACCAGTGCGCGGGTATACGAAGGTTAATAATTTGGTAGCACAGTAGCTACGAGACCACCTACCCTTATAATGCTCCAGTCAATCAGTCTAATACCCCATCAGCCCTTTGCCCTTCGAATATATCAGCCTGCTTAGCTGCGATCGCCACTTAATGTTAAATCGAGGTATTTTATTAGTCTGAGACCTTCCTCCTTCTCCTCTCTCTCTCTCTCTCTCTCTCTTCTTCAGTTTCGAGCTTCCTTCATGCAATCACCGAATACCTCGAAGTTCAACCTTCTCTCAACCAGCCACCCCTAACTCAAGATGCGCCTTCCAACTAAATCTAAACTCTATGCCCTCGTCTTGGTTTGACCTGCTCGATCGAATATTTCCTCCTTTCAAGTTTGCAAATAATCAGAGCGAATTGCAAGTCAACAGCACGTACTGCAATCAAGCAGCCATTGCATTCTTACGTTTTGTAGTAAAGTGAAATGTCATTCCGTAGGGATCGGAATGGCCGAAGGAGAAAGGAATTGAAAAGGGTGGGAAAACATTTGGAGAAAATGGGATCTGCGAAATCGGGCAACTTTGTATCAAGGTATACAAGGGTACACTATAGAATCTAAGACATTAGTAGAAATGCAAGTTTTGCACGTCCCTGGGAATTGTCATTAGAGCTCAAGAAAGCTAAAGTAGTCGGCGAGCTTAGACACGCGATGAAATAATATCTGATAGTAGCAAAGGCCGCTTTGAAATTACTAGGCTCGAGCGGTTGCTCTATCGGTAATATTAGCTCACCTAGAGTTTTGCACGACAGGATTGGTAGTCTTGGTAAATCATGATAAATCGCGAATTCCGTGAGACGAACCAGGACTGGCAATCGTCGCGACGACCATAATCTCAGAGTCGTTAGCGTCGCCGATGATCGTGACTGGCGTCGATTAACGTCCAAGAATTAGACGGCCACGCGAATTACGTGTTTCGAGCAGTGCCGTATAATTGCTATGCGGATAATAAGGGACATGTTCTTTATAATCAGCATCTTTAATAATTTCTTATATGAGTTGACATTCTTGTTACATATATGTATAGTCCTAGCAAATCTTTATGCTTATGTCTTATTTTACTCTTACGTCATTACTCTGGTTTCTCTAACAACGAGGACAAAGAATCCTTCGAGGAAGTCCATTTAGCTTCGGGCCAATCGATACGCTGAACAATAATCGAGCTTCTGCAACAAGACGTAAAAGAGTTAGAGATTAATTCGAGGCATTTGAAAATTGGCCGGAACACATTGTCTCGGTTTAACTATCAATTTATTTATCGAAATTGGAGTAGAACTCAATGGAAAGAAAAATTAAAGACACAAAGAAAGCAAAGTATTCACTACCATACATAGGGGTAGCATACGTCCTAAAGAACGAATAAAAATTTCCTATAATTCCTGCGCAACTGCAAATAAGTGATGAAATGTTAATAATAGTAAAATGGTTCAAGTTAAGAGAGGTATTTTAGGTAGTTGATGAAAGAATAACAACAAAGCCGTAACACGAAAGTTCAATCGGTCGGATTATAAAGTATAATTTTATAAGTTAAAAAAAGAATTCCGCCGATCAAATTTTCACCTCTCGCGGAGCATAGTTTCGACTTCTTGATTGGCTGATTGGCCCAAGACTCCCACGACTCCAGAGACAGAAGTCAAAGCTTGGAGTAAAAGGCAAAAGTGAAACGACGGAGAGAAATAAAAGATTAAAGGGGAAAGGAAGGAGAAAATGAAAAAGATTTAAAAAAAAAAAAGGTGAGGACGGGAAAAAGCAAGTTTGAAGTTAAAACCGTAGAAGACGGTCAAACGATGCGTCATTAACTTCGTAAATGTCTAACGAACTGAGACGCGACGCAGGGCGTTTTCCTGCAAGCTCAACGAGCTCTCTCTCTCTCTCTCTCTCTCTCTCTCTCTCCTTCGCCCCTCCTATTCCCCAGGAAATAAAGAGGTCTTGACGCCGTCCCTAACAATAAGCTACATTCAGGAAGTCCCAGTGAATGCAGAGACGTCGGATTTCATTGACAACTCGATCTCAGAAAGTAGCTATCTCCCATTTCCACTTCCTGAACGGCTTCCACGAATGTTATCATCGTGAGGACGGTATCGATAGGAAAGAAAGAATTCAGCATCCTCTGGAATACAGACCTCTTTCTAAGGAAGAACCCCGACGTCCCTGGTGGCTTTTCTAGCCAAGCAGGGAGCACAAAATATAACGAGTATCGTCCCAGCGCCAAGCATCGCCAAAACAGCCACGAAGATCGACCAGGATCTTCTTCCGGTCCGGGTCGGTGCCAGCTTCCTGGAAGCTGGTAATTCGGCGACCTCTTCAAGAGCAAGACCCAGTCGTTTGGCTTTGAAGATTAAAGTCCTAAGGCGTCGCGAAGCCTTCTCGCACGACATCGTTAAGTCCGTTTATCGTTTTATCGCGCCAGGCGCCACAAGTTCCTTCCTCCGATTTCCTGTCCCTAAGGTCTCCCCCCTCCGGCCGTTCACTTCCGCGCCGAAGGATAGGCTACCGTAGTGCGAGGAATACAAAAGGGATGAAACAGGCGTCCACTGTGCAGGCCGTTTCAGTGAGGCCTCTATTGTTCACCCTTGGCATTCTCGTTATGCAGGGAATAAGCCTATGTGTTTAAGCAGCTACACCCCTCCTTTCGTCAAGGGGTGGTCGTGATCCGCATCCTCTCACCCTCGAACTTCTCTCACCCCTTCGGGAGAGCATCTTAATTGAAAAGATCCAAGCTACCCCTTTAGCATTCCGCCTTTCTATTTCTTCCTATCAACTTTCTTCTCACACAAACTTGATTACTGCCGGGGCCCTTTCGAACCTTCATATAAGCCGTGCGCTTTTATTGAATCTGAAAAAAAAAAATTGGAATTTTACAAAAATAATTCAAGACAATTTTAACTTAGCCGATTTGAGTTATTTATGAATTTGGAAAAAAAAAATACCAAAGCCAAGGATCGTCACGGTGCGTGATCAAATTTGTAATACGATAGTACATCGCATTGTGTACATGAAACCCACGAGTAAGCGGAAGGCCATGCACGTTTGCTAGGTGCGTCAATATTCCCTATATAGGAAAAGCAAATACCAATTTACGCGGTGCGTTTATTTAACGTTATTTAAATGGCAAAGCGTTAGCACGCATTGTTTGATATTGCGGTGTTCCGCGTTGGTTTTCAATGTGCTGGGTCGCACCGTTTAATACGTCACATTTTATTTCTTCTTTTTTTTTTGTTCAGGATCACGGACTACTCATCAAGCGTCGCTTAATTACAGCTCGACGTCTCGCTAAACTAGTGGAATTCATATAGGTGCCTTCACACAGATCAGCATGCTCGAATGTTTGACAATGCGGATTTAGGCCTTACCTTTGTTCGGGTAACATATGATATATGCTTTGCATAATTAATATGAAAAATAACCTTCTTTATAATCTGCATCATGAATAAATATACTCGCCATTCCGTATGGTGCACACGTGCGTGCATATATCTATCAGAAATTATCCGAAGAAAGAGAGAAAACAAACAGAAATTTCAAGAATGGAAGAAAAGGGGAAGCGGACTCCTTGTAAGCCACCGTTACGACGAGAAAATTGTAATTACTAGAAATATGAATAATTCAGGATGATCTATGAAAATTCTTGGTCGAGAAGTTGTACGCTCATCCAGAACGTTAGAAGCTATTTTTAAAATTCCCGGGAAAATGAATTAAGTTTCCCCTAAGTTGGCTCATACAGTCAAAGGTTAGCGTTAACGGGCAAAAACTTTGCCGAGTTATTTTATATTGCACTCGTGTTTCAAAGGCGTCTCTTTGCTAAGGGAAAACTGCACCGGACTACCGCAAGAACGTTATCGTTTTCAAAAACTTTAAATTACATTTACGTAAATGTCAAACGCCAAGCACAATTCTTCCATTGTTATTGCTACTGTAACCTCGATTTAACGCGCTTCCATTGCCTCATCTTTTTCATTATTCCCGAACCAATATTCTCATTTCTCTACTTTCATGCCTTTCGTACTAATCGTATGTCAAAGCCACCTTCCCACGTAAACAGGAAATTGCGAGTCTTGATTCATCAAGGGATTTACGTCCGATCGGCAATTTTCCTGGCAAATTCCACCCTTATCCTGTTTGACTTCTCAAACTTTCTCGAGGTTGCTAATTTATCTGGCAATCTCTCGGGATTTTAATAAAGAAATTCCAAGTTAATGCCGGATCAAAGGAAAGGCAAGTTTACTCTGGTATACCTACTTGATGCTAAACTCGCAAGGAACTTCGGTACAAGTACTCACGATCAAAGATAACCGCCTACGCGAGTAACAGAGGTAGAATGATTCACGATAAATTACCGAGCACGTGTCGCAATAGTCAAGAAATGAGCGGCTCGAGCAACATGCTCGACGGACGTCGCGACGCTGACTAGCGAGCTTGCGGGTCGCTCGGGCGCTTTATTGGTGACGATCCTCCGACCCCACACCCCGAGCATATACTACATATAGAGGGAACGTGGCAGGGCGTCCCGGCGCTCGGAGAATCCCAAGCGCCGACCGCAGAACGAGCTGCGCCGAACTTCACGCAGGTTTACGTGCTTTTTTCTACCTTTTACAACGACTCGACGCTCGTCTCATCGCTAAAACACTTTCGACGCCCATCGACAGGACTTTGACGCAAACCGCCATCAGATCTATTTGAATAATTACGCTTCAAACGGACTGTACTGAATGGCCCATTAACAAAATGAGAGCATAGAACGTGTAAACCGATACCAAAGTGTTTCAGGGATTGTAAACATAACATGAACAATTGAAACGAAATGATCTCGACACTCGGATTAAAGTTCTAGAAAGAGCACGGAGCATCTAATCTTGATAAAACATCAAGTTACACATATACAAAGTGTACCGAATTTAAGATCAGGCTAAAATATCTATTTCTGATAACCTCCTAATTCGGCTAAAAAAATTTCAACAGCCTCCCAAATACATAATACGTAGATTTATCTTCTCCCCCAGCCAACTCTATAGGAATGAAATGATGAAAAAAAATTACATCTACGGATGAGGCAGTAGGCTTGGGAGGCTGTTGAAATTTTTTTATCCAAATTAGAAGCTGATCCGAAATAGGTACTTTGTCGTATAGAAGCCTGAAAAAAAATTTTTGAAATGACAATGGGACGAAGCCTTATCGAACTATTGTATAACGATAAGAATGATCTCGATTTCTGGTTATAGCTACTTCCGCGTACCGCTTCCGCTATTTCTCTATTTTCATCCCTCTCTCTCTTCCACTCACTCTGTCTTCGAACTGGTATAAAGTTCAGTTAGCACCTTGATACCCAGCTTCCACTCTTCTTCAACGTTACGTTGAATTTCACCTACCCTCGAAACCGTGTCAGCGACACACTCTCCCTGGCCCGAAGTTACTTCCCGATTCCTGTGGGTCTCGACATCCCGAAACTTTCATTCAATCAGGGGCTACTATCTCTATCTTGAGTTAACGCCATGAGACACCACAGAAGACCGTAGCATTCGCAGCCCGTAGACACTCGTATTAGACATACTATTGGTGCTCCGATCTTTTCCTTACACAGACCCTGATACGGCTCTATATACTAGTTAAGTTTCCTACCCTTAGTTTTGGTCTTGCCAGAAGGGTGACTTCTTCTCCCGTCGATCCAGCCATTCTGCAGCCTCACCACGCACCCCCACGAGCTACGTGAAACTCCTGGCAAACGACTGAGCTCCAAGAGTTTATTAATAATACGAGTAACGCGTATAACGAGAACAGTCCTTTACATCCGGAATGACTGGTATTTCTATATAATCCTTAGGGCGCGTCCGATTACTTATTCTTTAAAGTATAAAAGTGATAATTGATTTTCTTGATACGAAAGATCTACGGGACTCGGTATATAGCTATTTGATTTAATAAATTGATTTAATTTGAATAGCGACAGGAACGAGAGAATTCTTCAATTTTCAATGCACACAGTGAATTTTTCTATCGAATCTCCCTTCTACTTGAGTTCACTATACCTCTGTTAAAGTTTTCTTGTGTTTTTTTAATCCTAAGAGTGACAGAAACGTAATTGCGTTGCGAACGCTAGCACCAATCAGACGGACGAGCAAACAGAATAAGATTTTTCAAGAGGGTCCTGCAAATTGCGCAAACTTTCACGCAACGTGTAGAGGGCTGCCTCTGGGTTTTTACGATTCTCTTAAGGACGTATACGATATCTTTATACGATACACCGAGCTGTGTCTTAGAAGTCGAGAAAAACACCAGAAATCCTAGTTCGTCTCGCAGCAGTGACCAACCGACAAAAAATAGTACACCAAAAGGGTTGGAAAGGCCGGAAATAGCGAGAGCGTGCATCGAGGCCAATTCTGCGAAAGGAAAATAACAAAAGGGGTAGACAAATAAAAGAAAAGGGACACAAAGGAAGAAGAAAGAGTAGAATGGGATAGACGAATCGCCAGTATTTCAGACACGTTGCTGAATCACATTATTTAATTAAAACTGTAGGTCGACCAGCCTCGCGATCTTGGAACGAGTATAGAGGAGGTGGGATAGGAGAGGGATGAGCCTCGGGGATAAGGAACGAGTAGGTGGAGGTCCAACCGGGGTGGCTCAATCCAAAAGTTATAAAAGAACTCCTTTCTGCTACTTAGAGTCGAGGAGAGTCGCTCGTGGAAGATGGTGACCAGGGTCTGGGAAATGGCAAAAGAATAAGTCGGCAGAGGTTCTTGCGAAAAAGAGAAAAAAAATCGCTAGGCACTCAAGAAACTGGACTTGGTAAGAGCTACGGGGAAAACTGAGGACCAAACCCCAAAGACAGAAAGACTGTACACCCAGATATAAGAGTAGTCCCAAAAAAGAAATTTGTGGATATCTCCCAGCATCCTTGCCGCTGGACCACCATCGGCCGCCACATGATTAGACACTGTCTGACGACTCGAATATAAAACAAAACAAAGTTTCGCAATTTACCAAACTTCCCTCAGGTTTGAGTGCGCCCGGTTTCTCCTTCGAGAGCCCCAACGACAATAACTCTCTCCTCTTAAGGGACTTATGGAAGATCCTTCGAGATACCAACTTCCCAGGAAGAGGAACGTATTCGATTCCCCTCTGTCTCTTTCATAGTCCTTGGCTAACAGATATTAAAACACTTCATGTAGAAGTCATCCTCAGCATCCAATACTCCAGGGCCAGTGTGGACCAACACAGGACCCAGTGGCTCTGCAACTGTTTTCTTAGAGATGAATCTGCAGGACCAATAAGGCTTCTCAGACAGTTAAGAAATATACAATCTGGCTGTTTGAGCCTCTCAAGCGGGTACATGGTGATCCTGATGAGCAGGAAAGCAAGAGGCTGCACCAGGATGAAAGGATGAGACTGTAGACCCACGTGCCCTGCTGAAGACGCGGTCAAATCTCCGTAGAGAAACCGGCAAGCTCTCTGGTTACCTGGCAACCGAATCTGTTCATTAGCATTCTGTAGGGGGGATGGGGGTTGTACGAGTGGGATGAACGAAGCGAAGAGGGAAAGGGGGGGAATGGCAATTAATTACAATGCCAGTGATATAGTGTAATCTAATATCATAAATAATACGCTCTCCCCTCCTGCTGTTATGCAGCCAGAGTAATTATTTATTCGCTACGGATTCTCCAAGTACCGGCATCCTTTCGGAAGAGCCCATATCAGATGATTGCGGAATTTAATAATAACGCTAATCGATTTCTGAGAGAGGAATATGGAACGACAAACTCCGTTCCGATTAATAAAATGACAAATTGACTTCATCAATGTCAATGTCTTGCATCTTCACCGATGCGAATAAGACATTACTTATCGTGCTATCAATGACTGATGGCGAATGCCGATTTAGTCTGATCATAAAAAAATCTTCATAAAGACACATAAAAGATCTTCAATAACCACACGAAGATAAACGTCACCTGCCCTCGTAGAGTAACTTTAGCGTAACCTACTTACCCGGGAGCAAACGGATTGAATTATATAGAAGGTTGACCACAGCACCGGATGATCAGCGGATGCTGTGGGTAGGAATTCTAGGATGGCCAAGGGTTCGTTCAATCAGTCGAGCGGGAGTAGGCCTATTTATTTTCCATCAAATTACCAGTCGCATACCAATTATGTAAACAGCCCCGTAATTTCGAACGCAATTGACAAGCAGCAATTGTGCTTCGTCCTGACAGCCGGATGTCGAAGTCCACCGGGATCACGTACGGGCCGTAAGAAGCAAATATGCATAATTTGCAAGAACAATCAACTGAAATCAGTAAGCAGTCTTTTTCGAATCTGAAACTTGATCCAAAAGCAGTGCAAAGGAACGCAGGTTCGGGATGAGTGGTACTTAAAGATGAAAAAATTGTCAGAACCCCAGAGTATCCCAAAATGAGACAATTATCTTTGTATGACGTTGCTAAGGAAAAATTAGGTTAATAAATGATCTTTGTTTTAATTAAAAGTATTAAGTGCTTAAAACAGGGACAGGTCAAAGTTCGTAAATCAAGGTGAAGCGTCAATGGAAATGAACACCTGCACCCTTTGAACTCTTGTTACCCTGTGCTACCCACAAGACCGAAACTAGCCGCAGATGCTTACTAGACAGTACACGATGCGGAGCACGAGTTCTCTGAGAACGACGGCAGAGTAAAGGAAAAGGCTGTGAAGTCCCATTCACATAACGTTTGGATGTTTTAGTTGAATTTTTGAGGATAAACGACACTTTGTTAACGGTAGACGATATTTTCCGCACACCCTATATAAAAGCGATAGGACCGTGTCATTCCCCAATCCCCGGAGATCCTGTTTATCCAGGTGCTTTTAATTAACTTTCGAGGTTAAATATTAGAATGCAAAGTCGTAGAGGCTCTATGTTGAGATAGCAAAGAGAGGGTGCTACCAGTTTGCATGGGCCGAGCGTGCGAGAGCACATTTCCTGGTTTGGATCATGATTTAATACGTTGGCCCTCTATTACTTTCTCACTCTTTCCCTTTCCTTCCCTCTCTCTCTCTCTCTCTCTTTCCCACTCCGAATTTTCCCAAGCTCTCTAACCCGGAAGCCACCTACGTAGCAAGAAAGGTGGCCACTCCGCTAACACAAAAGAGAGAAGGATAAGCGGCTAGAAATGTAAGCGGATAACCAAGAGCACGTTACTGGCTGGCGAGATTTAATTGAACAAACATTAAGCGGGCCTCGAGGATAGCTGGTATAGACTTACGAAGTCGATCTGGTTCCTCGGTAGCTACGCCTAGTTACTAGTACTACCAGTAGGTACCCACCTAGGTACTTCGGTTCGAGTGCGCCGTGGCGCCCTCGACCAATGTTTGCGCCACGCAGTAACTCCCTTCTCGTCGACATAAGTGCAACTCGATTTGCATATTTAACTCAGCCTCTACTGGGAGATAAGTTGGAT